CCTGCACATCATGGGCAATTGATACATAAGTTCACACTAGTGTCTGCCAACCCCTGCAATAACATTGCAATGTTATTGAGATCAGCACACTACAGGAACCCAAAGTCTATAAACATCGTAGCGTTAATTGTGGCCATTGGACGCCTTCATTCATACTACACTCAGTTCAAGCTGCCACCACATGGACTGAATAGCAAAGTGGCTAAAGCTGAAGGTTAATGGATTGCAGGATGTACTTTTTATAGATCATGCATGATCCAAAACATCCCAGAATATCCAGTCTTCAAGTTGGAACTGCAGCTATTTTCCTGTCCTGTGTTGAGTCAAATCCGTACACTACGCGTCTTACTCGGTGTTCTACTCAGCGAACGTATATCATCGCAGACAACCGGGAAACATGCAGCAGGGCATTGGAATAGTCCGTTGGAATGACATCTCCAAAGAGCATGTCTACAGGCACGAGAGACAGGTAGCCTCTCAGACTTTATTGTATTTATGAAGTCGGGGTTTGCAGAGGGAAGCGTTCCTCTAAAAACGTTGATTTCCAGAAAGGCCCACTTTTGAAAATGTCCACTGACTTTTTTCTCCTCTCTGTGGAGGGAATATATACCCTTCCTTTTCAACCATCTCTACTAGTCCACACATGCTGGGGGAAGAGGCTGACTCCTCAACCAGCTGTTACATCTGACTCCCAGCTGTACAGGTCATGGCAGGTATCAGAGAGTTCAAAGGCTTGCTGAGTCAACGACGTTTCTAAACCTTGAAATTGTTTTACATTAACTACTGTTCTTAATGACTTCCAAACTCAATTTGTTTTTGCCTACACAACAGAGAAAGAAACAGCAGGTTAACGTTTGCTGCATGCCTCTCTTTTACCTCCACAGATCAAGCCCTGGTACTGGTCGCATCTGAAGTTATCACACTGGCAGTATTTTCCGTAGTAGAAATGGTTGGGGGTTTTCTTTTTGCAGACACACTCGCCGCACACACAACGCCCGTTGTTGCTGCAAGTGCTTGAGCTGTTGTCCTTCCTGCATAAGTCCATCAAGCCCAGGGTGTCAGCTTCTTCGGCGTCACATTCACAGGAGGTACCCACATAACCTTCCTTGCACCTAAAAGGAGAACAGAGACCCATCACACCAGCCCCAGAATCACTCCAGTGTTCATTAATGGTTTTTTTCTCGATACATGCAATACAGGTTTTAATTCAATTGTCATAAAATATGCTTGGCAGGACCATGTACAGTGACACAATACATCTGAAACATTTCTACTGTAGTGGAAAAATCACTCTCACAGTGTCATAAAAAGGTATTACCTGCAAACACCACATTCTAAAGTACCACTGCCATTGTTGCATTTGGGGCTGTCTGGGGTTCTGTTTTTGTAGCATCCGCACTGACAGATCACCTTCAAAAGGATCTCAACTTCTTCACTGAAACCCAGGGCTTTTAGAGTAACTCGAATTTCCTCTGGGTCCTTCGGGCACTTGTGTGCAACAATGCTTATGTGGAATTTCACCTAAGCAAACACAAAACAAGGTGGTTTTGGCAGATCTCGCCAGAGGATGACGTGCATAATGCATGTTGAAGAGGATGTGCAGTAGAAAAGCAACAGACCTCATCTCCCATTGAAATATTCAGACATCTCCTTCCCTCTGTTCCAGACTGGGTGGTGTTGTCTTTGCACACAGCAGTGTAGCTTATCTGGAACCCTTCAGGTAATCTGCTGTTCTCCATTATGACTTCAGATGTCAGGGCCTGTTGGAAGATTTGCTTAATGATATCCATGGACAAAGCGACCAGAGGCACTAAAATATTCCCACGTCCCACCAACCACCCCTCTGTAAACATATTCTACATAGGGACACAATAATAACAATAATTCTTTGCATTTACAGTATTTTATAGATGTTTTACAGAATTACATCAAGCATCACATTCTGGTTGGGTTCTCTGAATGCCACCATAACAAAAAGAGATGATTAGATTTATGGACATATCTCCTCACCTCCTTCCCCCTTTTCGCCAGCTTCCTTATATAGTACTTTCACCTGTTTTATAATATTAATATCAGTGGATACTGCAAATACAAATACTGTAACATACTGGACTGTTGACCTTGTTTTTCATTGTGTGTTCTGCTTTTACAGTATGTGGCATGTATAAGTAAAGGTTTTTGTACAGTATATGTTTGTATGTTTGGAGGATGTTTTTTTAAATGTACCCAGCAAAACAAATGAAGTTTCTTGTGGAAAAAATAAAGTTCTTTCTAAGTCTAAGTTCTAAGTATACAGCCCTTTGTATCCCAAAGGATCTTGAAGTGCTTCACACACACAGGAGAGGACCACATCTTCCATGACTGAGCTACAGTAGTAGCCACTGTGGTCCAGCATCTCCAAGGCACAAGCAGATCATGTAGACAAGTGAGAAGCTGCTTCATCATTTGCGTCGTTGGATTTTTATTGAATTATCAAAACTGGAGGATTTCAGCAAAGCCAGGCTGTACATATCCAGAGTGGACTATATTCAGGATACCAGTGCTAACATCCCTACTCTTATGGAAGGTGCCATGAGATCTTTAATGAGCAAGTAGTCAGAACTTCAGTTTAATCTTATCTAAAGCACAACACCTACAGCTCGGTGTCTCTGTTTAATATACTGTGGCGCTAGTTTGGAAGTTCTGGTCCAGAGGGTAGATAGCCTCCAAAACCACTTTTAGCACCAAAACCACTTGTAGCAGAAAATCGATTGTTTTTTTTTGCAAAGGTTCAGCCAGCCTAGTACTGACCACGCTCTTGGTTACTTTCTAATACCTGACAAGGAGGTAAGGGTACTGCCTGCTGTATTATTTAAAATAATTTGTTGTACAGTATGTAATGAGGAATAATACCACTTAATTAAAACTCTGCCATGACAAACTATTTAAAAGGTTATGATACTTTAATTAACACACTTACAAGTACGCAAATTAGGTTTCAAGTTAGGCTCTTTTTTATGTATTAGTTATTGGGAACATGTTTGGAATAGACTTTCTTCGTAGGAGATTAATTGGTCAAATTTGTTCAAAACACAAATCAGTACAAATACAAGGACTATTATTATTCTCTTATTAGTTTCTTTCTACATTTCAGCATGGAATCAAAGTTCCTGTTTACTTTGTTTCTTATAGTCAGAGAAAAACATATGAGATGACTGACTCCTCACTTGGCCTACCCTTCCTAACAGCTGGATAAACCAACCTCTATTATACAGACCTCTAGACTAACTATTAAATTCATGTCTGTACACATGGACACTATAATCAATATTCTTGGAATAATTTTTTCTTATGTCTTGGGAATTTATGAAGTTTTTTTTCTCAAATCAGGATAAAAAGTTAAACATTTGCCATTATGATGTTATGAAAACTGAACACCTTGAACACCTAATTTAAGTGGCTGGAGATTCATCGCCATAATAAAAGCCCACATAAAAGCCCAGGACTCACATTATAGGCATCCACAATTAACTGTAATATATTATGGGAGTCGTTTGACAGGATTCCAACGGCACTTTTTGGAAAGTGGATCTTTAAGCCCTAAAAAAAAAGGGAAAAATAAAGGAATCTAAGAATTCAAAAGACATATTCACTGTTCCCATCCATGTGATGAAATCCATTGAATTAATGGATACAGGCGGTCCTTTACATCAACAGACATCTTTATCAAAGACAAAATCAGAGTGGCTATAAAGAGCTTTTCAGTAAATAGCTATTACATTTATGTGAGGAGGGAATATTGGATATTTACTTTTGAGTATGCAAAAAGTCTGCAAACACATAAACTTTTTCAGGCAGGTTCACCCACTAACAACTGGGAGGTGTTGGAATACTGGTCACAAGGGAAACAGAGAACAATAAACATGTCTGGACACCAGATAAAAAGGAGTACGTGGTATATGTTGTTCTGGATTTGTTTATGTAAGATAAATATTTTTATTTTTCCAGACAGAGACATGCTGCATAATGATATTGTCATGCAAAGAGGGCATAGTTCCGTTTATCTATTAGAGACTAAGACTTTGGAATCTCACCTCATATAAATGCAGAACATCACGAGTGACAGCAAAGATTGTCTGAATGTTTTTCTCACTCAGCTTCTCAGCAAGATGAGCGATAGAGGGATAATCCTGTGGAGTCAAAGAGATGGTGAGAGCCCTTTACAACAGAAATAAGAAAAGATCATATAAAATACTTCATAGAGACTTAATTGAGGTGGAATAGTTCATATAATGCAACTGTTAGCCATTCACAGAACGTGTGGATTAGTAGGAAAAAAATAGGACAATATTATTAAATGACGATTCTGGAAGCAAGAATATACACAAGAATGTAGAGCAAATAATTTATTGAAAATAAACCTAAAATGCAGTATATTTTATCAATGCCAAACCTTCAGAAATAAAGCCTTTGTTCTTAAAGTTAAAGTTGTGGTCTTGTAAATGTCTTCTTTACTCTAAGTGGCCTAACAGAGAGAAGACATTTCACAAAAATCCCCTTGAATATTTTAAGATACAGCTGGAGGAAATGCTCTTTCCATTTTGTTGGCAAGTACAGTAGCATACCGGAATGTGAAATTGCACAACTTTGCTAACCCTCTGACATGCTCTACATTTGTTCCTTCTGTTCAGGACTATCAGTACATTGGAATATTGCTCTTTGTTCTTCAGGGTATCTTGCTATCCAGCATTGCAAAGTGAGAAGAAATTTTAAAATCACATCAAACAACCTACATAGTAGTGACTCATCGTGTATGTGTTATTCTCCAGGTGGCACTTTCCATCATTTGGCAAAACAATTCCTCCCAGTTTTCCATCTCCGGCGAAGTGGAAACCAGCGTCAGTGGAGAACACCAGCAGACGGGTGACATTCCTCCAGCCAATTTGCTCCTTGAAATACGAGAAAACAGGACTTTTTTCCGTTCATGTAACCTCAGAACCTATTCTTCTCAAAAATATAACCAAGCACAAAATCACATTGCAGGTGTGATGGGTTTTGTAGAGACAGCCTGGGTAACGCCTGCCTGTTCCACTTCTTCTAACGCACACAATAATCAGAAATTCACATCCTGGGAGGAAGATGTGGAAAAACAAATGAGGTCTGAGGAAAACAAGTGTGAGCACAAAAAGGCACACCAGGTGGTTCTATGTGGTGTCCTCTTTGTTAAGGAGGAAAATCCGAGCTCTTCAACTTCTCAGTCTTCTTTAGCGCTCTGGTCTTGCTCACCTCACACACTGCCACCTGCATCAGGGCATCGAAACCTCCCTCTGGGGAATCCAGATTTCCTGAGATGCGCTGCTCTCCAACCAGGTCATGGAACCACTGCGCGTCGTTCGTCAGCCTCAGCACGTTTTGAAAGCTGAAGGGCCTTGCGCAGGGCTGTTTCCTCTTGCAGGGATTCTCCAGCATGTCCTTGGTGGTGCTGATGTAAGGCATCACCGTCTTGTCCACAAACGAACCGAAGCCTGCAGCAAGCAGAGGGCCTGTATGAATGTTCATACGCTTTGAGGTGTCGCTGTCTCAGGAAGGCCAGGAGCGTCGCTAAGGATGACAATCAACCTGGTTTCTCACTTTTCTCTCCGCTGCCCTCTGGGAAACATGATAGGAGCATGACGGCACGCACCTCCAGATTCACAGACAGCTTCGTGCAAATAAGAATTTAATTGTACTTTGTGCCTATGACGAATAAATTGAACTCTAAACTCTGAACTTCATAGTATTGGCCACTTTCCCTCTTGCAAAAACGGAATTCCCTGGTAAACTTTAAAAAACACACCGACCAGACAATAGCACAAAATTAACCACAGGATGCTGTGGCTCAATTCTGTGGTTTGTAACCACCTCTGGCGCAGATACCAGCCTACAATGTCATTCCTCTTTGGGCTGTAAATACCTACCTATCCTGAAGTCATCTGTGATACCTTCCATTTCTTTCATGAGGTCTGTCCCAAGCCTTTTTATATTTATTAAGTCATCTTCCATGGAGAAGGAGAGGTCCATAAGGTAGTACAAGTCAATAGGATAGGCCTCCACTCTTTTGAACTTCACCTCAAAGGTCTGAGGTTCTCCTGCAAATCAGTATGAATGGCCAACTATTAAGACTGAAAAAGTGTTTCGCTGGAGTCCAGCTTTTGCTGGATGACCAAGACTGAATTTCTTGGGATCAGTATTTAAGAATGAAAAAGGACTACGTACACCAAATAAATGACATTTCATCTTCACCTTGGTGATTTTGTTTTGTTATACCATTAGAGTTTCTTTTGTGTCACGAGGACACATTACTAATAAAACAACTAATTTTGATCAACTGGATTAATGATAATGTACTATGTAACCTCCATTTACTGTATATGCTGTAGAAGTGCATTCATGTTCAAACTATGTAATCCTCTACAGGGCTGTGGGGGAGCTGGAGCCTATTCCAGCAAGAAAGGGGCGTCAGACCCCCAGATGGGAACCCTGACACACACACTCACACCAGGGCCAGTTTTCCCAGAAGCCAGTTCACCTGCCAGCACATCGTTGCACTAAGGGAGGAAGCCAGAGCACCTGGAGGAAACCCAAATGAACAGGGGAAGAACATACAAACCCTACACAGATGGCACCAGTAATTGAACCCAGGGTACCACTTTTTGTGATTAGCATTCTTAAACAGTTCTGAAACAATTAAGCCTTTCTCTAGAGACACTGTCAATTCTAACAGTGCAGAGAACTTTCCCTACAAACTAGAGGACTATCCCCCAGATCACCCGGTACTGTGCAAGTGACTTTCTCACGAAGGAAGCAGAAACAGAAAGCAACTGCCGGCATTTGTGTTTTTTCACATTGTTTAACGTTACCTAGTCCTGCAGCAATTGTGTGTCAAGAGTTACCTGAAATAAACTAGAAAGATCACAGATGAAAGAATGGGAATTCAGTGCAGCAGCCATGTTGTGTAAGGATATGACCATATGATTTTACTGACAATAAATCCTGTATTTTAAATGAGAAGTCAAACATACCCACCCCACATTTATGGCAGGTATGCATACCAATTGAATTACAGACACACTGTGTACATTTTGTAATAACTAAATGTGGTGATGACCTTTGAAAATGTCTTAGTATTACTATAATTTTTCTCTTTCTTTCAATATTACAGAGGAGCCAAGGTCACTAGTGGCTACTTTAAAAGAATACATATTAATGCACCAAATCTATTAAAAGTTACCTTCTTGACATAATTAATACTGTAACCAGTAAACAGGCTAGACTGACATTTCTGTAAAACAAAGCAACAAAGCAGGACCCAGAAAACAGAATGTGCCCCACTTGAACTTCCTGTGGTAGCAGAGGGCATGTGAGTGAAAATCACACAGTTCTTCTTTTTACATTTTCATACTTCTTTATTTTTGACACATGGTCAAAATTGTGTGTAGTTCTTTGCTGTTTCTAGTTAACAGGGGAGAGTAGTTACTGTCAGAGCCATCAAATATTGTACCAACCCATCCGAAGATTTACAAGCAGTTTCTGGGGTTGCAGCTGTTTGATTTCATGAGGTTTCAGCTTCTTGTCCTTGCTTTGCGTTGTGACATTTTCATTGAGAAGCAGCACAGTGGAGCCCCTGGGATCTTCAATCTGGTCTCTTGGGCAGCCCTTCTCCATCAGGGTGGTCACGTCCCCGCAGCGCTCAGCAGTCAGTTGCCCAGGTCCTATAAACGTCTTGACAAAAGACGAAAAAGCAAGTAACTTGCACAACACGAGTTCTCTTGTTTAATAAAACTAACAAACCAGTTTTAAATGTGTTTTCCATGTCCTTTCAATTTGTGGAGAGGACAGTTTCAAACAGGAGAAAGAATACACTGGTCAGCTTGATTGGATCAGCTTAAGCCTTCTCTCAGACATGCTACTGCACGCCTGCAAGTCAAAGAGACATATATTATCTGTTGCATTCTGGGCCTTGATGACTGGAGTCAGGCTCCTTTGGCTAGAGTTTACAGTGCACATCCTTGGGATGTGTAACAGTTACAGTCAAAGTCTTGGCAAACACCCTGTGGCTTTCCTGTAATGGTACTTATAATCTCTGCTTTACCATTTGGCTTCCAAAATTGTAAATACATCTGGAGGATTTATCTAGGCTCTGCATTGGCATAAGCTTTAGTGCCAGGTTAGATCAGAACTGCATTGAGGGTATTTCAAGACATCAGTCACATTCCCTTACTGGCACACAGCACCTCATAGTAACTGAGTAGAAACCGGGGTTTAGCAGCTGCAGCAGGGTGCTGGGAAAATTCTATAAGGAAGACGAAAAGAGAGTCTGCAAATGAGAAGAGGGCATCAGGCCCATCCAGCTTGTTTCGTGATTTTAGTATCTAATCGATCTGAGGATCTCATCCGACTGTTCTGTGAAAAAGTCAGATTATCCACATCGAATACATGCTTGGGTAGTTTGGTCCAGTTTCGCAGAACCTCCTGCACTGACACTTAAAACTCCATCGGTGTCCTCTGGTTTTTGTTTCACTGTTTATTTTTGAAGACCTCCATAAGTTTAACGCTTAATGCTTCAGTGGTTTAATGTTTAATGCCTTTGAATACTTGAATCAGTCCCTCTTGCAGTCTTCTCTGTTCAAGACTAAAAAGGTTTAGTCCCTTTCAGCCTGTTAGAACAAAACATTCTTTCAAGCCTGGGGATGCACTCGGTCACTCTTCTTTGGACTGATTCCCGAGAGCATTATTCCAGCAAAGGAAGAGGTTCAGTCCTAGGTGTTTGGCTTTTTCTTTATCGATAAACACAAAGGTCTCAACATACAAAAACTAATTTCAATTCTAAGATTTTTGAAAACCTGATTGGGCTAATAATATTTAGAGATTAAAAAAATTCTGATAATGCAGGCACATGGTGGAACCTTGTTATAATGCTGGCTAAAAATTCTGTTTCTATGAGCTCTTAGGTGAGAATTCTCTTTACCTCACTAAAACACCACGCACACTGTGGGCCAGACACTAAACACTCCTCACAGGTTTGAGCGCTCACAGGATTACATTTGAGTTCACCTGCAAAGACAAAGCAGACCCTCCATGAGCCCTCCATGAGCCAACAAAAAATAATTCTTTCAATGAAACAACCACATCCAGACTTATGCTGTGAAATTTGAAATTTAGCATTTTAAATAAAATCCATAAGACTCCAGTCCTCATTCATTTGTTTCTGGTAATTGCTCTTTGAATCCTGGGTGAACTACAATGTCTGATATTTTATTAAAGAACCATGATTATTTCTGTATTTCTTATTAAAGGCATATCTAAAAACTCAGACTCTATCCATCTGTGGGGATTCTTTTTTAATTTTGCTTTTTGTTAAAATCTAAATATTTAAATAGACAGCCATTATGGTCAACAAGCAAACTCATTTTCTAGTTGGTATCTGCAGAACTGAATCCGAAACACAAATTCTTTGTTGCACGGGACTTTCCAGTGAATGGTTGCTGCATGTATTTGCAGATTCATTAATAACCTCTGAATAAATCATTACATTTACTGGATTTAAGGGATTAATTCCGCCTTACCGCGTTTTATCTGCTCCCCGTCTATTAAACAGCAGAACAATCCCACAACAATTAATCTTTGTGAATTCATCTGTCAATAGAATTACACACAGATTATTAACCCAATGAACATTTTTATTTAAGGTCACATTACACTTTTTTATTTTTATTACCGTATTACAGATAGAAAAGCAACACGTTACATAACATTTCCTACATATGAAAAAAGTCATCCTTTCCTTAATTTCTGTATATACGTACAAGGTACAAATGAAACATTTGGTAATAAGTTGCACGTTATTAAAAAGTGCCAACAAAGGAGAGGATGGAAAGTTAGTTGATGATGTTTATTATTTAAAAGTTAAATTATTCATGATTTGTATTTCATTGACTATACATTTACATTTTTTAATTGTATATATTAATAATCACATTTTAATCAAATTTGTGTTTGCAGGTCTGCAAAATATTTGGATATATGATGAAAAATATCAACTTAAGTTTATTCTTTAAAAACAAAGTGAACCGATACACCCCCAGACCAGTACAGCTACAATTTTTGAAAATAGTTGCTTTTATTTGTTCTTTTAAAATAATGATGATGGCAGGACTTTTAAATTTGAACATTTAAAATCATATAGTACTTTATAGCATGAAGGTCTTATCCAAAGACAGGAAAATCAGAATATGTTATGTAGAAAATGATAAGAATACTACAAATTATCCAGACTATCTCACAGAAATGTGATTTGTATAATAGACATCACAAGAGAAAGAACTGTAGAATCAGTACCTTATTTAGAAATCTGTGAAAATACCAAGCTAATTGGATTTTGAATTATGCAATATAGGGTCGGTATTATGTTTTGAGGACTTGGCCTTTGTTAAGTGTGAAGACATGAAATTAGATCTAAAATGGATTTATAGTCCTGTACATCATGGTTATTTCTTTATCTGTAATCTGTAATCTGTAATCAACTCAAATTAACTGTTAAAGTACTCGGTTAAGCAGTGAACTCCACATATTCATCCTTAAATTGCTGGAAAAAAGTGGCTAACTTAATTAGCTGAATTTAGTTCAGAATGGGTTCAGTGCACCCTTTCCTTTTCCAAAGTAGAAATCAATTACTTACCTTTGCTGTCTGTTTCAGTGCTCACTGAAATGATTCCTGGAGACAAAGATAGGTTCAGTCCAGTTCAGAAGACCTGAATATTTATTGTCCAGCTCAGTCTGCTGTAGATGGGATCTGACAGATATTTCACACAGTGAGCAACAGAAACTACCCAGAAAATGAAAAGGCTTTTAACCCCCAAACTGCCAGATCCTAATCATCTTGTTATAATACATTTCCTTGATACAGGAAATTTATGTCAGACACTGTATTAACCTGAACTTCAATTTGACCTTATTAGAGTTCTTGGAGGTATATATGACACTAAGTCAGAAAAGATTTTAAATGTATCTTTTCTAATGAATGCTTTAACATCATAGCTCACAAGAAAGATAAGAAGTGTGCTGATGGACGTACAGTATGGTTGCTGTGGGTATGACTTTCAAAAAATGTAAAACAACTAAGGAAAGTGAAAAGGCTACTGTTGTACTGAGAAATATTTCCTATTTTTTTAATTTTTTGAGTAGGGTTACACTGCATCCAGGAACTTCCAGCAAACAAGAAAATGTTTCTCACATTCAACCTTTTAAAACTCCAACAGTGATTATTCCCAAACTTAACAAATTTGGAGTTCTTGATGACTGGATGATTATGCACAGAAATACACATTGAGTGCAAAATGCTGGACATGGAACAATTTAGCTTTATTCCAAAATAAAACTGCTGCAATTTGACCACATTTACTTCAGTTGTCTGCCAGTATTAGAGATGCTGGAAATGATGCGATTTCAATAGTGTTCAGATAGGATGGTTTAAACTCTAATCCAGAAGCTCAGGTGTGGATATTTGTTTTGGAGATTTTGTTTTAAAGGGTTACAGTGACGTCACTGTGTTAGACGACCTCCAGAAAGTTCAAGAACGAGTCACAATGTCCCTCCACAAGATCCTTCTGAGTTTTGCTTACTATCAAGATGGGAAGGGCTCTTTCTTTAGAAACCTGAAACTGAAGAGACATTCTATAAGAACTAGTGTATCATAAACAATGACAGCTTCACATCTCAGTGCTGCCTATTCAGCTTTGAGGAGCCATTCCAACACTTTCTATGATCACATAGAAAATCCTAAAAAGAGAAGAAGAAACACGATTACTGATATAAACCAAAGACCGTTAATGCATATTAAAACCTCATTAAACATAATTATTTCTTTAATTATGGATCATTCTGAAGAACCTTTACCAGGAACATCAAATGACAGACTTGCTTTGGATCTGTTAATTGACGGAAACAAATTGTAAACAAATTCAGCTCCGGATGTCTCTGCAAGGATTGTTTTAAAAAAATGCTCCGAGAGGAAATACTCATTTCAGCCAAACAATTCCAGTTTACTCTGAAGGCATTGTGCAGAGGAGCTAAAATAGATACAATAGACTGATTTTTTTTCATGTTTGTTGTTCTTACTTGGATGAGACGTCTTGAAAAAATAAAAAATTAGTTCATTTACACAAACGTCCAAAGACAATAAAAGGAAATGAGCTTGGGGAGGGTGAGCCAGAGACGGCAGTGTGGAGCTATGGCCAGGGTTCTGCACTTGTAACTAGAAGGTTGTGGGTTCAAATCCTAGGTGACATGTACTTGTAGTACTTGTGAGCAAGGTACTTCACCCCAGCTTCTCTACTAAGAACCCCAGCTGTAAACATGGATGTAAACGTAAGCTGGTTTGGATAAAATATCAGCCAAATTTATTAATAAAGGTACTGAATGCAGAAAAGGAAGAGATGTTAGTGGGAATACTATAATAGTAGTATAGTATAGTGATTCCAACACTTTCTATGATCACATAGAAAATCCTAAAAAGAGAAGAAGAAACACGAACACGAACATAAAACTATGTTGTTAAAAAGGTGCTGGCATTCGGATAAGATATAAAACAAATTT